ATATAGCTTTCTGCTTGTGTAGCTGTCCGATCTACTACTAAAGAAAGGAAGCAGTAACCCATTGAGTGGGGTACCCCAAGGATAATAAGTAATGTAACAACACCTTGAGAGATTATGATGACTGAGCTCTCATCGGACAATAGGACATCGTTAAGATAGTCGATCGATAACCTTGCATAGATTTCTTGTATCATTGATTTCAAAAACTGAGTTTGTCTTTTGAGCTTTTTTGTTAAAATGAATCAAGTTCTTACTCGGTACTATCTGCTTTTATAGGGGTCATATCCAGATCCCCGCAGATGATGTTAGTTCCTCTATTCTTAAAATATATATGCTCATAGCAATTAACCGTTGGAGTAACTTGCCGCTCAAATACTTAGTAACCGTATAGAGTAGCACGGAGGTTCCAGTAAAATAAGTTGTGTTTCATAGCGAACTGTTGTCATGGTCGCTGTGTTGGCTAGTAACGAGTAGGTCCTCGTGACGTCAGTAGAACGAAATATATACTTAAGAAATTACCGTCGCGCTGCTGACATTAGAGAACAAGTCACAATTAGATACGATTCGTAATATAGTTTATAGAGGACTTGATGTGTCAACCCGAGAATCAATTACGCATATGGTCGTTACGTGAAGGGGCTCGTATTCATTGTCTCACCGTACTCTTGTCGATAGCCACGAGGGCCATGAGAGGCGATGGTGCAGGCTACAGAAGCCAAACGTGGCTATTAGGTAAATCGAGTCCTGTAGTCACCCAGTTGTTCTAATAAGAGATATGGACTTTTGTTCCGATTCTGTCGTAACCAAGACGCGATGAAAAATGATTTTTTGTGTTATTATTATTCTGTGTCATCTTTTTATTAGCTAGACATTATTTTGTAGCATGTAATACATGTCAAATATACAGAAAAAAAAATATATATATATATATTAAAATGAGGTTTCATGAAAATCGTAAAGCTCTAGAGGACGGTGCGTCTCAAGAAACGAAGTATGCATACGTATATGTACAGAGAAATTTCTATTGAGAAGGTAAGAGCTCATCTGAATGTAACAACACAAGAAGCAAATGATTCTCACGATTGTGCTTCATGCATATGTACAAGTAAACTTATTTTTTTTTTTGCTACAAAATTTTATGGAACAGTGCAATCAGTACGACCCGTAAATCTTGATTTATTATTTAAAAAAATGCGACTCGCTTATCTACTATTTGTATTCTTGTTTTATTTTATAATCAAGTACATGCTGTACGAAATAGTAACAAATTGTATTGTGTTTATCACTAGTCTCATTACAGGCCCATAACACCGATTTTCCTGCTACAGGTGAGGGAAACAGATGTTCCTGTTCATTGCACTTAACGAAAACGTGACCCAACCAGGAATTAATGAGCTTATCAAATTCAACGAGATACTCATTCGTGTCTCTAGCCCTATTTCTCAACCACGAACTTGTCTTTTCCTGTAGCAAAAGTTGGGGTTACCTGTCTCTTTTCAAACTTATTTCTGCTATTCAGGCCCGCAGGCCAAAGTCGTCTAAAAAATACGCCGAACGTCTTGGACAGTGGTACAGAAGCCTAATCCTGATTCTTATCGACTAACATTACGATACTGGAGATGGTAGAGAACTAATCCATCGGCCACCGTCCCTCGGATCACAGCCAAAGGAAACTTGTTCAGGGTGGTTGAATAGCATCGATCCGGGCCCGGTTAATTCCGCAGGCTTGCTCCCCAAATGTTGGTCCTGGGTACCGTTTGCAGAATACCCATTGTCTCGAGTGAGTAATTGGTTTTTTCCAATGCTTAGCCTTTAGGTTGCGTCAGGCCTTCGGTTTGCTTATTTGGGTGTAATTAAGCTTGCCTTGTTTCGCATATAAATGAGATCGTTTCCGGACGGCATTGCGGCGGAGCGGACGCTTTCTTCGTCCAGAGCAGCATTATTGACTACCATTTAATTGCGTATCCAATAATAGGACGCAGCTTTTGCGACATTGCCAACAACGACAAAGCTCTCAAAGGGAGCGGGCTTTAGTAATGGGCACCCTACCCCTGTAAGAAAAGTTCGCGTTAGAGAAACCGTAATACTTTGTTACTTAAGATGGATTATTCTGATCTCTCATTCGTAGTTGTTACATAACGCGTGAATAAATTGTATGGAAAAAGTTTTAAATTTGAGCTGTCATTTGTCTTGGAACTGGAGTTTAGCCTGGAACCGGACTTTTCAACTCTCCTATTTGAAAGACTAATGTAGATTCGTGATAAGTATCTCCATTGTGAGACCGTTGCCTAAGTGTGTTTGCTTACCTGAAGGCGCTCTATTATTATTATTATTATTATTTTAGTCATGTGCCATAAGTTTTTTTACGTTTCCGCTAGGTTTCTAAATTGTCAAATAGTATTTGGTGCCACAGTGGTAGGTATCACAAATTTGAGCATGCGCGCCAAAAAATTTTTCTAACAGAAAATATCCATCTAATTATATATTCTATATTAATAATTTCACACCGAATTTGAGCCATTAAGAAATATTCTAACAGGTACTAGACACGAATAGAGTAAATAGTTTTCATTGTCAGTCTTACAGATATTAAAAATATCTATTATTATAGAATTTCGTATTCGTAAAATTGGCGAGTTCACCAGAATATCGCGTCTACCGTTACATGCACTTATATGTTCACTGCCTCTATATTCCAGTATCGCCGTTATGCAGCCCATTAGACGGACGGCTGGCTCCCAGCCACCAAGAGATTCTTTCTGTCTAGGCCGAGGGTCGAATCTTCACTGTCTAAAGACCGTTAACTTTAGGTTTTCTAGTTCATGATCTACAGCTTTGCGATGACGCATCTCGATATATTTCGAAGACAGCTTCCGTGTCATTTTTTGCTTGATGTTTTGCGTTGTCAAGAGCTTGTAATGTATTGGACGTATGACGTTGTTTTCCTGCATTTTTATCTAGACGATTACCAATCTGCCTGACTAATACCCAGCGAAACCGTTGTGCCTGTTATACTTCTTTGTGCACTAACCTTGAATAGCATTGACTGCCACTACATAACGAGATCGAAGTTACGAGTTGGTCGTGAACTCTGGCTAGCCTCAAGTGTCCAACGTTACTAAAGTGTTTCTTTTTGCGCAACCATAGGCAACAATACTCCGATACACTTCAATCCCTAGATAAATATTAAACTCCACCGCTGAACATCTCACTGTAAACCGCTTCCCTATCCTTCGTAAAGTTCACCCCACCACAAATAGTTCGACTTGTGAGCACCAGAGACTCTGGGGCTTTTCGAGCACCTCGTCGTTGAGCGGTTTCATGCCCATTTCCGTATCGTTCTATATATATATATATACCTCACAGCTTAATATATTGCTGTTTCATTCTCATATTTAACGACTATTGCTACAGCCTGAAGTTTTCCCCCCCCCTCTCTCTCTCTCTCTCTCCCTCGCAGCAGCAGCAACAACAGCAGCGTGCTTTACACGCTCGCTGCGATTCCTCTAAATCCACAATGAGTCGTAGAAATGGCGCCCCATCAACCGTCGGCTACATATACTGTGCTTAGATGTTGTTGTCGATAGACGAAACAGAGTAGCTTCTCCATAGTAATAGTCATCGTAGTATTAGTAATAAGGGTCTATCGCGTATGAACGCGCTTCAAGCGGGTGACAAATACGAAGCCTATGCTCAACATCAAGCTTAGCTTTTTCGCAAGTTGTTCTTTCCTACCTGTACGGTATATAGACTCAGGCCAGGGACGCCTGCGACATCCCTCCATCTCCTGTCCGCCCGCTACTACCAGCTATTAGCTGTTCGTGCCACTTCGGAATAGCGATGCCATATATCTTGCGGGCGGTGCGCAATTCACCACATGGATTGAACCAGGACCGTTCAGGCTTCCTGTTGCGGATGCACGAAAGCCAGCCAGTCAATGCGGACTAGTTCGGTAGTTCGGCGAGCAAGTCGCGTTAACCGGGAGCAATGGAGTGACAATTCTAGGGACAGGTCGTTTTAGTTGAAGGCAGAAAAAGCATTTACTGCTTATGTGATGCTACTTTTCAGCTGCTCTGCCTATTTCCAAGCCGTGCGTGGCTTACAACTAACGCGTGCCCATATACGTACGTCGATGACGTGTTCTACCTATTGGGTCGAATAGGATATCTGTAGATCGGACGTATATTGATAGCACGATAAATGTTTTCGTGTGATATAATATGGTGCATAATGTCTGCTTGTGAACGCTGTTCTAGGTCTATGACTGCTCACGGACCCTGACGAAATCTAATAGTACGCTAGATTTGCAAGCATCAAAAGTCAAAGTTAGTGCTGTCTAGCTAGTCGATTTTCCCCATCTGTCCTAAGTAAACATAAAACCATTCTGATAACGACAAGGAATAGGAATCGTATTTGTGACCTTGGATTATTGAAATCTAAAGTTCAGTATTCAATAGAGTTAAACTGACTCCGAGACACATTGAAATGGGGTTCATGTGACCTGCCTTAGCTACAGGTCGTACCCTTGATGTGCCAATGTTACATTTAATGAGAGGTTAGAATCGTAATAACGCCTTCCGTGAACTTTACGGAAATTTTCTGTTTGTCTCAGTAGGAAGTGTCCCTCGTTGCTTAATATAATAATTAATGGCGGTGATTTAAAATGTCCTATTATATAAAAAATACATTTCAATCATCAAGCAAATCGCATTTATTAAGAATAATAAAAACAATAAAACTGTTTTTATTATTCTTAGGACCAGACTATCCGATCGATTAAAGAAATCACAGTAGAAACCATAAAATGCCCTGCATTTAAGAATAGAATATGGGCTTTATTCACTCGCATGTCTAGCTTGATAAATGTAATATATTTTTGTAATAATACTATGAGTGTCTATGCTATAAAGTATATAGATTATTTGCTATATATAGATCAAAAACGAAGGTTTACGATTTGGATCAAGTTTGGATTAACTTGATTTTTACTCGGCAGACTATCTGCTACATGGAAATAATCCGGTTCGGTGTGTTACTTATTTATAGTACTTTTATAATTTCACCAGAAGGTTTCCGTACTTGTTTGCAGATTTCGCATTATGGCCCAGCTTTGAGCACCCATGAGGGTCTCTACAGATTCGGATATCGTTTGTGTTGTCCTGGTTACAGGGATAAATTCATATATTTGAAGCGTTCGAAATCGTGTTCGCGTTCAAGAAGGCTCAACTCGAACGTCTCTCTTACATTTCACGTCTGAGCCGTGACGCGCGGCTCGACGTACGTATACAACAAACTAGCAACTCATCTAATGAACGCCGCATAAATAAACTATGAGCGATTCGAGGGCTGGAAGCTATTTCCCCACTTAAGCTGAACGCACGATTTTAGTTATCCTATAGAATGCGATGGCCCTGAAAACTAATGACTCATTTTATAATAAATAGCCTATATCCCCAAATATCGCACCGATGTAGTGAGCAGCTCAGTAGAAGATATGAATTATGATCACGGCATGCTTGGCCTTCGTCAAGTCGCTTTTATATAACAGGTCCACTATAATGACAATTCCAGGATGCTTTCTATTACATGTCTAGTTTCTGTAACTTGACAACCTATATTGTACTTTCCCATTCTAAAAGCTGTACTTACCAGAGCAAGATCGTTTAATAACAAGTGATATTAAGAATATAAGTTAATAAGAATAGGAAAACTTAACAAGAAGTGGTTGATCCCATTGAAAGCGTCGATTTTTCATACTTCTACTATATTGCACAACATCGTGTTATCGGTTGATCCACGTATTTTATGACCATAGAAAGAAGAAAACAACAGCTCTGTTAAAGAGTTCCCTATCGGTGCACTACTGAGTACTGCCTAAACCCATCAAATTTCCCACGTCCATCTTAGCTTCACGAATATTCTCTCGAACTGTGTCAACTTACAACGTACGCAAAGCCGATGATCGTATCCTAAAAATCAATCTGTACGGCTAATGACGAGCGCCGATCGTATTAGGTCGTTCAAGAGGGTAAAAAGCTTGTCGATGTCATCTGGGTCGCGTTGTTGTTCTCTATAAGGGCAGTGTCCTCAATATACAGGTTTATCCATCCAGTATGTTACTGGCAATTGATACATTGATAGGATGTCGATAAACTGTTGCGTCTCAAACTTTACGTTGTTGACGAGTCTCTGTACATACACACGATGTATCGTGTGGCAATATTATCAGTGCATAGAGAGCCACCAAAAAGTTCCGTGTGACAATCAGACTTCCAAGTACGTGGCCCGCCTTGCGTTAGAATCTGAAACTTAAGTTTCCAGCTTATAAGAAGCTTTATATTCGACTGCCAAAAATGAATCCAATTCAAATTAAGGCATCGGCTCGAGCGAGAAGACGCGGGCAGAAAGCGCGCATCTGAGTGAACGGTCTAAGGAGGGCTGCAATACCGTCATTTCTTTCGAGGATCTGTAGCGTTCTAGGAGGCCATTAGTTAAACGCTGCTTATAAGGTGGCTCGCGAATGGCGCTCTGATAAACAAGCCCGAACAGAGGGGCCACACTTGTAGGCACGCTTAAGTGGTAAGGTATTGCGGGCAGATGTCGAACTTTGCTGTTTGACTTAGCTGTTGACTCTTGACAAAGAACAAGTGGCTGCTTGGACAAGCTCACCTAAAATTCTCCAACGAATTTCCAACTTAAAATTTTAAGTTTTGCGCACGCCTGTAGGAAAACTGAGCAGCGTTAGTACTGGGATCCCATTGTGTGGTAGCATCGAACTGCTCACACATATGAAAAGTTTTTGTGCACGATACGATTTTTTTCGTAAAAATCATGAAAGTCACTCCTCTTGACCGTACGGACGATAATGAAACGCGGTACTGCGAGCACCTCGAGAATGGTTGGCACCCTTTTAACTTTATCTTTAAATCGAAAAGACCCCCAGAGCATAAAGGCATTACATATGAACATTAGTGATTCATCTTTTGCTAGCATAAGTCTCATTTACGTTTGGACGGCCCAAAAAATCATCAACGTCATTCACAGCAAAGCAAGAACCCCTTTTAAGGGAGCATATCGTTGAGCTACACCGATTACACTGTTGCGATACATGGAGTCTTTTTTGCTTTCGGAGCTGACAAGTTCCAAATCGAGCCGTTCTTAGATCTATGAGCCGCTCTTCGAAAGTCCTGACTACTGAATGTTAGATACGCCAAGAATCCCTGTAGCACGAACGTTCCGTGGACCACCTAAGAAATAGTTGTAGGCACATGACCAGTATAACAACGACTGCTCGAAAGATACAGTTAGATACTTGCCAGTTAAAACAGAGGTCGTACTATGTTGGCCTAACTTTGCAGAAACCTGCTGCGGTACTATGAATTAACAGTATACGGCTTATAATGCAATGAATTCGCGGCCAAGCTGAAGCACCGGTATCACCTTGTATCTGCCTGTGGCGTGCAATGTGATTAAGCGAAGCTAATCAATGGGTGATCGATGAATAAGAGGTTGACTACTATGACAAATTCGTGTGAGACCCCCAGTCGGTTCGAACATTATAACTGCGTGCCTGTGCTGGTACTCAACCCAAGATACCGACGCGCCACAGCATGCCGATAATAGCGAGCCTCATTGGCCTGCGATGAGGGGAACAAGCAAGTAAAAGTAAGTGAGACGAGCTGTCCTACTCCGTACTGTAACCGTGTAACGGCGGGACCGTCTTTGCATTCGTTTCGATAAAGACATCACCATCGCCGTTAGGAGGGTTGTCATCCATAAATTCGAACGTAGCAAAATGTTAGCTACACAAGCTCTTGTTGTTGCTGCTGCTGCTGCTTCTGCTTCTGTCGTCGCTGTCATGCTCAGTCTAGCCATGGCACAATTGGATCAGGCCTGACTTGATGAAGGAAGAACGCTTTTAGCAGAGGTTGAATACCACCAATGGTCAGTGGCAGACGTGTTATGCAGGAAGCAGTAATAGTCTATTATTACGTGCAGGTAAACTGAAAAGGGCAAAGGGTAGAGGCTTTTTAGCAAAATATTTTTTTCATAATTTTTTTTAATATTTGTTTCATCCATAATTCTCCTAATAATGACCTTTTATGGCTACAGATTGTGTGCAAATGTCTCATGGCGTATCCTAGTCGGTGTCTCCATGTGCTGGGCATCTATGCATTATCTGTTTAGATTGGATGATCGAAGAAGTACTAACCGTTTTTTCGCGTAGACGGCCTTAAGGTCACTTTTATCAGATAGCACAAGACACGTGTCGACGTTGACCTCATTTGGGACCTGAGATTTGGCAGTAGTAGAACCGCTAAAATGGTTAGAGAGAGCCTTTAATCAGGTTTGAGATAGAGCGCTTTGTGATAAATGCAATTTCCCTAAAAATTTGCGCTGTTTTACAGTTTAATTACGACAAAGGTTGCTCTAGCCTGAAAAAAAGTGCTTTATTTAGGTTCAAAGTGGAAAATTCAGTTCTGGAAATTATGTGAAAGATAATTTTCGAAAGTAATTTAACAATTACAAAAAAAGTCGATAAAATTATTGCGCCGAGGAGTTAAACAGTCACCACTAAATAGTTTGGAAATCGTTCGAAGAAAGCTGGCTACAAAAGAAAGCTCGATGTTTAGGTATCATATCGACTGAGGCAAAAAATTAACCGCATCTTCATTTGCGAAACGTAACAAAATCAAGCCATATGTAAAACGGTATATAACTTTAAAAGAATCACGTAAAAAGAAAGACAGATATCACGATTACGATAATGTTCGAACGAAAAAATAGTGTGTGGCAAAACAGACTTGGTCTAAAGACGGTTGTGTTACCTCTTTAGGTGGAATTCGAAAGGAATCGTACATCACGAGTCGCTGCGACATGGCAAAACAATGGACTCGAACGCCCAACGTCAACAACTAATAAGATTAAAAAAAAAAAAAGCACTAAAAAGGCGGACCAAGACTAGAACAAAAAAAAAAAAGACGTCGTCTTCCATTATGACAGTGTCATACCACATACATGTTTTGTTATCCGGCAAAAAACTGAGAAAATTCGAGTCGTAGGTAGCGTATGCATAGTATAAGGCCCGTTTTGGTATCATGAAACCAGACTCAAATTTGGTTTCTGTAGAACTGCTTTAATGGGGGTTAATTTAACTTTAACAGAAAGATACCGTTTTACGGTGACGGAATTATGGTGTCACCAGAAAACTATAAAATTTAATTGAGTAATGTCGTTTAAAAAGTAATTATCCATATTTTGACTTGCAATACGTCTTCGACAATATATATATATATATATATATATATATATATATATATATATATATATATAGAGAAGGTATCAGCTTAAACAGCTCACGTGGCATTTCAAACGAATTTCCTCGAATCAGGTCCAAAGGAGAGCTTTAAACATGGGGTCCACCGACTTCCCATAGAACATGCTTTCGGCCAGAAAGGCGGTCTGTGGTCCTTATTAATCTCTCATCGTACTATACTTACATTAATCCTCCCTGGTTGATTGGCACCTTTGTTACAACTAGTCAACACAATAACTTGGCATATAGATGTCAATTTACGAGAAATTTCGGAAACAGTGGAATATATCATTCGTTGCAGTTCTTACCATTCCAGAAAAATTAAACCTTACTCGAGAGGACATCGTTTACTTTATAGATCTGGTGGCCAAATTAGGTGACTATGAGAGTAAAATCATGATTGATATGTGGTTATAATTTAGGTAGCATAGGATTGCACCTATTTCGTAGGCAACCGTTCTGGTTGAATGTATCTGCCTAACGGATCTGCTCGTAATTTATGCCAGTTCCTTAAAGTCCGTTCGCCGGCAGATTATGCTAGGCCTAAGCACCAACGCTTCTTTCCCATCCAAAGTACTTACACACATTGACACGCGGGTCAGGTTTAAACGCAATTTATTAACCTGTAAATAGATTTTACGTCATGTATTAAGCGTTGTCTGCAATCTGCAGATGAAGATGTTCTAGGCTGAATACTGTATTGTTTGAACTTCGCAAGGCGTGCAAGGGTTGCCATCTATTCAATTTGCTATTTAGGAATGAATATATGGATGCCTCGATGGATAAAACTGCATAGACACTAATGCTAACAGACAACGTAAACAGTACCTCATACACGACGCATACTGAAGTGCAATATATCTGCACTTCGTACAGCCCTAAAATTGCTGTCTATCTTGTCTACTGGACTTCTCTTGGCAAAATATGTACTTATACAGACTGTTAAACTAATAATAATGCTGCGGCAATCAGATAAAGTCAGTTACGAAACAAGTCGATTGCCGAACAGTGACGGTTCAATATTTTGGCCTGATTCTAGATATATTCACAGGAGTTTCCTTAAGTGCTTAGTACGAAAAAGCACTCGTAATAGGGATTCATATCATATTGCTGTGCCATCGCTGCGGTATGATAGAGTCCACTCGTGTTCCGTGACTCCTTGTTATAATGGCTTTTTCGCCTTGACCTATTATGAGAAAAGGCTAGGTAGACCAGGGCGTAGTATCATCTTGAGGAAGTGTTCTTGAGGGACCTCCTTACTGCTGCTAATGCTGTTGGCGCTACAGCCACTAAAGGTGTTTCTGTTAATGAAGACATGGCCAGATGCTTGAGTGTTTCGTAAAGCTATTGCACGAAGTTAAAGTGCACCAGTGTGCCAAACGAAGAAAAAAAACGAGGAACAATATTTAAATTTCGCGCGAATAGTGCTCATCCTGATTATAAAATACGTTGCTCATTTGAACAGATGCACTGTCGAAACTTTGCCTTGAGAGATTTGGCTCGATCGACGTTTTTATCCCAACGCCTTAAGATGCGTAGAAATTAAACCTCGTGTTCTGTTATTGCGTGTTGCTTTTCAAGTAGGGCATCATCTTTTGGGGGTACATCCTCGAACATGCTAGGTCTCTTTAGGATAGGGGGACCCACAGCTTCATACACGATGAGAATTTCAGTAACTGCAAATTAGTTTGAACCGATTCACAAGACCAGGCTGATAGTTGCATGAGTAAAATTATAGGCGATTTCTGACTGAGTCGAACTCTATAAGAATAGCAGTACCGACTAATGTTCTTTGACTCTGATCACGATGCTAAGATGTATAGAAAGAACTGATACTCCGAAAAAAAAAAAAAATATATATATATATATATATATTTTTTTTTTTTTTTATATATATATTATATATATATATATATATATATATATATATATATATATATATACAAAAAAATTCGAAATAAAATAATATTCCAAATGACATAGCAATGGGGGGAGGGGAGGTTGTTATGTCAAGTTTAAGCCCGTATTCTTGCAAAAAAAGACATAACTTTTAACGATTTTTAGATCTGTTGTGTACGTTTTGTATAATCCTACGATATGCATATGTGGAAAATATCAAAAATGAGTTTAAAAAAATTTAAGTGCCATTTGAAGTCATTGTCCTGTTACGTAAAACAATGCTCAAAACCTCCAAACAGCTAACGGTCAAATTCAAATTGACGCGGTGTCCTACAGTTCACATTAATCAAGGCCTGTCTGGCTTACAACTGCTTGCTCAGTCCAAGTTTGGGGGCTAGTCTTCGTTTAGCCTCATAAACTACTACTAAAACGGACTTGTCCTAGGCGCCGGTGACCGGATTGTCCGACTGAACTTTGGGTCGGTGCTCCCTGATCGAGTAGCCTGAATCAAAGGGTAGCTTGCTCTGGTCCGTTTGCTACAAAGGCACTTCATCCCTTTCACACTCTTTCTAAAGTCCATTGCCTTATAATCCCCAGCAAATTAGTCAAGCAAGTAATACGACGTACCTTTTGCCGCACCATCACCGTGTGAATATGTTGAGCTCTACGCCGACATCAAAAACAGCCAAATGACTACTGAAGCTTTCTAGTGAAGCAACAACTTGAAAAAAAAAAGTAGAAAAATTCAATATGTAAAAAACGTTTATGTAATATATATATATGGTGTCGAACAGTTTATACATAAGCTACTAATAAGATTCAAGCTCATACAGTAAACGTTGAAACAAGGGAAACGCCCTTAGTATTTATGGCGATGGGATTTCCCCTCAGCGGGTCCAAGAAGCTGAAAACAACTGATTTGATTATAATCAATATTATTTTTTTTTCGAATTATAAATAAAATTCTATCTTACGATTTGATTATATGATACAGAAACGTTTGACACCTTCAAGAAGCACCCAGTCAAGTTCCTGCGCTTGGGCCCGAAATTCGTAGTGAGAACATCTCATGACTTCAGTGCGCTTCGAAGACATCACCTACAGCACAGTTTATAACGACCTTCACCGACTTCATTTTATGTGGACTGATTCAAAACCTTCTAACGTATTGTGTTTGTGTCAAATCATACGCGTACATACGATTAAAGAACTTCCGCCGACTTCACTGTTTCGTGATTTCGCCAACGAGGCGTCGATTACTACGATCAGACGGAACTAGCTATTTCGGCCTTAGCCAATTGTGAGTGACCGCAAACTACAAACATGACGACTGCTACTGTTGCTTGGGACGAGCTGTGAGAGGTGACCCTTGAGGTGACGACACGTTCTGTACCAGAGCTTCAATGAAAGTGCAAATGGCGAACATGATTATCCTTCAGGGCACATATGAATCATCATAATCCTCACATCGGGTAGCCGACAATTACTCTAACGACGATGACCTTCGAAGGTCGCCCGGTAGCATAGTCCGTCATTTGGTGGCACCCGGTGGGGTGGAAGTGACCGCATGTGGCTTCCGCGAAAAACCTCAGCGCAGGTCCCCAAGGAGCAGGTCAATTCTTGCAACTATAGATTTAGCAACTCTATCCCGTATTCAGGAACAGGGCATAAATTTAGTCCCGTACGGGATCTACGAAGTCCTAGCGCTTTAGCTATCGCTTAAGTAAGGAAATATTGCACAAACGTATTTTCTATCCTGAAAAACAGAGTCGCAACAAAGGTCCAATTAATTATATAGCTATATATAATATTGAACACCCTTAGCAGATTGTAACCAAAATGTATTTAAAGCGATTTATTGTAACCTTTAATCTTTCCTTTACGTCTCCTTAGATAATGACTATTCTACGATTTAGGGAAGGAGGGGATTTACGTTAATTAAGTTGCATATGAAGTTACAGTAGGCTTTTGTGATCGCTGAAAGTTCACTGAAAAGTGCGCCATCACAATCCGCGTTTGTTTTCGACCTTATAGGAAAATACGTGAACACACCAACTGTACTAAATAACCCATGAGAATGCCCCACTGCTGTGGGCTTCTAATAAGAAGGTCTGCATTTCCAACTGGCTCCAACTACAGCAACAGGAAACAAAGTTTCCATCAGGAAATCTGGAGGAACTACTTTAAAAGAGAAACCAACATATGGATCAGCGCCATATTTTGAAAAATTCATTGGATTACGCCCAGTCATTCGGAAGCGGGTTATCACCGTAAGGTTTGAGTTAGGCTGGCACAAAAGCCTTGACTAGCTTCAAAGGTCGTAGCTATCACATTGCAACATTTATAAGTTGTTCTATTTGTTTGTGTTCGGTTTCAGGCTCCGAGCAAAGCTAACATAGATCGCTTACAACGATCCAAAGATATGTCGACCATCTCTACTAGAAGTACACCCCCTTAGGGACCACTCAGAAAAACTGTAATAATAAGAATCAAGCTAATTATTTAGCCTTATTTGAGATAATTAGTACGAACTCAACAAAATTATTGTTGACGACGTAGATACTACGGTGAAAAGAGCATATTATAAACACCTAGATGTACGGTAGACGAGAAGCTACAGCTTCCTGTATAACTTAGCTTTGTTTTATGAATAATATCTTAATTGACATTATAGTTCCCTAATCACAAAGGGAAGTTTCGTCATTTGCTCGTACGTTTCTATAACACCAACTATACAATCCCCGGTGACGTGACGAGAGTGATTTGATGATAATTAATCAACCGATAAGTGATATGTTCAGACGCATCGGACCACCCGCGTATCAGGAGCTCGGCAATAGCTATCGCCATCTTCGCAGCGTAGTTGCCATTCAAGCACCTTTCGATTTCGCACGCCCGTCGTCAATTCACTCATCCTATAAAGTCTTCCCCCCCAACATTTAAACTGATGCTTTCGACTACCACTCGATCGACCTGAACGAAGACCCCTTTTATATGTGCCGCTTTTTCCTTTATAATGGCCATGTCTAAGATTTTTTGAAACATACCACCTTCAGAGTTTATAAGCAGACCAGTAAACGCGACTCAGTACGCATCGATCGTATCATAGTTCAAAGATAGGACATGGGTCGCCATTTTACAATTTGTCAAAATCCATCTCACTAGGTATTCTTGCTGTTTGTCGGCTGAGTGCGGGCGTAGCATTCACTGATGTTGACCGTGTCTGCGCCATCTAGCTATGGCTTGCCCGTTCAATGTCCCGTCACGGTCACTGAAGC